AGTGTATTTTTTTCCCCTTTCAAAACTCTGAATATTTCACCCCAGTGTCTTCTTCCTTGCATGGTTTCTGGTAGGAAGTCTGATAAATGCTGATCTTTGTTCCTCTGTAGGTAAGGTTAAGTTGAAGGAATGTGCAATGCTGAGATTATGATAATTACAAAGTGGAGGAGTAAATTGTGTGTCTGTCCCTTATTGCTTTGGTGCATCCTCAGAGATAATCCCTAGTAATTCGAGTGGTTTGATGCATTTTTCTCTCCCAGGTTTTTCTTTTCTTTTTCTTTTTTCTTTTTTTCAGGGACAACAAAAAGATATGGCTTGAGTGGGATAAATATCATCTTCCTTTAAAAGTTCCATAATTAGCTAAATAAAATAGATTACTCGCTTTGCAAGCAACTTCAGACTAAGTTCCCCAGCTTACTCCTTCAATTCTAGACCCTTCTCTGTAATATGTAGGTATCATTTACACAGGTAAATATAAACATACAAATATGCTTTTAGAAACAAAAATGAGATTGCACTCAGCACATTTTTCTACAACTTTCTTTTCTCATCTAATAGCCATAATTATACTAAGGGCATATTTGCCAATCAGTTCATATAGATCTCCATTGTGTTCCATTTGTGGGTGCACACAGACTTTTTATCTTTTAACATTCAGACTGTCTGCCATCCAAACAATGCCACAATTAATATCCTTGCACACTGTTATATCATATAGATTGTGCTGTTATATCTGTGGGACAGACTTTTCAAAGTGAAATGGCTGGGACATGGGATGTAAAAACTTAAAGTACTGGTAGACATGGCCAAATTACACTCTAAAGAGGTTGTAATAAACTATTACTAATAGTATACATGGGTGTTTGTCTTAGCTCCTCTTCCCTTCCCCTTATTAACACCTTATTAGTAATTTTTAAGATAGTTGTCAATCTTACAAAAAACACACACATACTCATTATTAAATTTAAATTCCCATTTCCTAGTAATTAGTGAGATTTAGATTGCTCTACCTGTTTTTTGGGGGGGATCAGTTGTATTTGTTTTGTGAATTGCTGTTCCTCTTTTTTCTATTGAGATGTCTTTCTCTTACTGATTATTAGAAACTCATTATATAGATATTAATGCCTTGCTTGCTAATTACTACAAGTATTTTCTCCCAAAGTCTTATCTTTTATTTATGTAGACATATATATATATATATATATATTATATATATATATATATATATATATTAACCTATTAATTGATACCACTACTACTCAAACTGTGGTTGGCAGAGTGACTATAAGAGAAAGTATAGGGTGCTTGATAAAAATGGAGATTCCGGGGCCCAAGCACTCTCTGAGAATTTCTGGGACTAGGACACAGGATTTAAAACAAATCTCTTGGTGGTGAAAACACTGCTTCATAGTCACTTAATTTTATGTCTTACACAGTTATTTTAAAAAGTGACATTTTATGCCTTTGCATGTACTTAGATTTCAATCCATCTTAATTTTATTCCTGTTATGATACAAAACTCCAAATTAACTGTATTTTATTTTTAATGTCTTTATTTTAATTATGCCAGGAACATTTATTAATAATACATTCTTTTCCCACTAATGCATCATCCTTATCATAGATTGTTGTTTCTCACATTTCTGTACTTTTAAAAAGAAACATCCTTTTATTCCTTTTTGTAAAATATCATGTTCTTATAAAGGATTCATGACATGCAGAATAATAATAAGAAAAAAAATTTTTAAACCCAGCTGTAGTAGATGGAATAGTATTCCTCCAAAATTCATGTCCACTTGGACACATGATCTTCGCTGGAAATAGGATCTTTATAGATATAATTAAGTTAAGATAAGGTTATACTGGATTAGGGTGGGTCCTAATTAAAGAGTTGGTATCCATATATAGGACAGATGCACAGTGAGTGCTATGTGAAGACAGAGACTGAGATTGGAAGCCACAGGACACCAAGGAAAGTCAAGGATTGCCAGCAACCATCCACCTAAGCAAAGACAGAGGTATGTAACAGGCCCTTCCTCAGAGTCTCCAAAAGAACAAACCATGCCGACATTTGGTTTTGACCTGTTAGACCCCAGAACTGCTTTCTGTTATTTTATGTCACCAGTTTGTGGTGCTGTAGGAAACTGACAGGCCAACTAATCAGAAATAACTGTCTTTAACATTAGGTTGTCATCATTCCATGTGTGTGTATCTGTATTTACATATGTAACATATTAGACTGACAGAAATATTTCCAGTATAATGAGGTAATTCTGTACATTCTACGTTATTAAATACTATTTTACTTAAATTTGTCTGAAGAAAAGGAATAGATCTGTCCTACTAGTTCACTGGTGGTTTTTCCTATTTCTTGGTGTTTAATTTTTTTCGTAGGGCAAACCCTGTTACTCTTCCTTTTCAAGGTTTTCTTGCTCATTCACAACTATGTGATCTTCCATACAGAACTTAAAATCAGTTAGTTCTAACTTTTCCCCAAGAGAATCTGGGACTCTAATGAGAACTGCACTCATTTTGAAATCTGACTTGGGAAGAATTGGCATATTTCCGGTACTGATACCTCACCCAAAAATATGACATGTTTTTCATTTATTCAGGTCTTGTGTCTGCCTTTCAGCAAAGGTTGAGGGATTTCATCACCAGGATCTTGTAACTCGTTACAGTTTATACCTGATTATTTTATAGTTTTTGATGCCATTGCAGATAAATTCTTTAAATTTCATTTTTAATAGGTTATTGCTTGTTCAAAAGGAAAACTGCTAATTTTTCTTCGACTTGGCCCCCTAGAGTCAAGCCTTTTACTGAACTCAGTTTTTAAATTGAGGCATCTGAGTTTTCTAGGCATCGGTGGATAGTAAGTAACGCCGCCTCTTCTCTTGGGGGGACTTGGCAGTGACATTTTGCTGTTTGTACCACTGAGGGCCACGACTTCCCCGGCTAGGGCTCGGTGGGGTTTACCGGTTCCTGGCAGGGGCTCTGCGCCCTCGGCAGGCACCCTGCTCGGCCACCTCCTCCCCTCCGGACCTGGCGTCCGCACTCCTAAGACACGACTGACACTAGTTCACAACGCAACGCGCTGGGAACGACGGCCGGCGCTGAGGCCCCGCGTCGAGCTCCGGCGCCACTTCTCCGCCTCCCGCGCGCCCCGCGAGCCTCGCCGCCACTTCACGAGGCGCGGCGGCGCCCGCTGCACGCAGGAGGAGGCTACCTCAGAGACGCAGGTGTCACCCTGACACCGGGCCGGTCTGCCTGACAGAACCGGCTCCTAGAAAGCAACGTGGCCGGTCAGTCCGTTCCAAGGCACGGTTTCATCCGCACCAGAACGTGACAGGCCCATTCTCACCGTGTTGGTGTCTTACCGGAAAGTAAAGGGCTCGAAAGCTCGAAAGCTGAGGCGAAAGGCTCCGGCTCCCGCGCGTCAGGCTGGGGCGGGGCTGGCGGAAGGAGCCGAGAGCGCTCGGAAGCGCTCGCCTCGCCTTCGGCAATAAGCGTCGGGGGCGGGGCGCGCGCGACGGCGCGTTCCGCGCGGGGCATTGTGGGAGGGGCGGCCGGTGCAGCCGCGGCTGCCATCTTAGCAACTCCTGGCGTTGCGGCCTTGTCGTTGGAGGCGGCCTTCGTGGCGGTCTTCGGCCTCAGGGAGCGATAGAAAGTCAACCGACTGACAGCTTTCTTTCCCCGGGCTTCGACAGGACGGTCGGCCCGCATCCGGAGGCGGAGGCGAGGGTAGCCGGGCACGTGTGGGGCCCGAGGCCAGCGGTTAGTCACAGCGTCGCCCGGAAGGATGGGCCGGTCTCGGAGCCGGAGCTCGTCCCGCTCCAAACACACCAAGAGCAGCAAGCACAACAAGAAGCGGAGCCGGTCCCGATCGCGGTCTCGGGACAAGGAGCGCGTGCGGAAGCGCTCCAAATCCCGGGACAGTAAACGGAACCGGCGGCGGGAGTCGCGCTCGCGCTCGCGCTCCACCAACACGGCCGTGTCCCGGCGCGAGCGGGACCGGGAGCGCGCCTCGTCCCCGCCCGACCGCATCGACATCTTCGGGCGCACGGTGAGCAAGCGCAGCAGCCTGGACGAGAAGCAGAAGCGAGAGGAGGAGGAGAAGAAAGCAGAGTTCGAGCGGCAACGAAAAATGTGAGCCCCGCGGGGGGAGGGGCCGGGAGCTGGGGAGCGAGGTGGGGGGTGGCGTGGGGAGAGGAGAGGGGGCTGGCGTGGGGAGTAGGGGGTGGTGTGGAAAGTAGGGAGTGAGACGAGTGGCAAGTGGCGGGGAGTGAGAAGTGGGGAATACGGTGGAAGCGAGTTGGGGTGGTGGGGAGGGGGCAGTAGGAAGTGGCGTGGGGGGAGTGGGAAGTGGCATGGAGAGGGGAGTGAGGGTTGGCGAGTGGGGGGAGGGGAGTCTGGGGTGAAGGAGGTTGGCGAGGTCGTAGGAAGCGGCCTCAAGGGGCTGCAGCCCGGCGTATGCAAAGCCTGGGGCAGGACAGACCCATAAGTTGGTTGGGAAGGAAAATAGTGGGTCTCGGGTAGGAAGGCTTCGAGGAGAGAAAGCATTTTGGCGCGAGAGGAGGAGAGTCCCGGAAGTAGGGGGTGGAGTTGAGAGTGGGCTTGGAGAGCCGCGTGGATCCTTGAGAGTGAGGAATGAGCTACCTCAAAGATGGGGATGGCGAGCGTTTGTAGGCCCCCTGGAGAAGAGCACTCTTGTATTGCATCTTAAACTTGGGACAAGGTTTCTCGGGAATAAAACGTTTGAGGTGGTTCAACAGTACACCCAAAAAAACTGCGTCTTACTTTGGTGTATTCCTGTTAGAGATGTCGCGGTCGATTTTCTTCTCTTGGGTCTACTCTTTGTTTTTTGAGGTGTGAAAACAAAATGCGCACACCTCAAGGGTCCAGTAAGATGAGTTTTGACGCTTGAATTCACCAGTGTAACCACCATCCCAATCACAGCCTATTCCATTTGTTTACTTTTTTTATTCATTTTGCTTTAGAGTTCTCTGTAGCAAACTTCAGCGCAATCCTACTCATTTCTCCTTGTGGTGTACCTGCTGCTTAGAAGATCCTTGAATGTTTGCTTTTACTTGGCATTGATCACATACAGAAGAGTCACACCAAAAGTATCTTTTATCTAAGAAGAGTAGGTGCAAATAATCCCAAACTAATGAGATCTTGGTTGTAAAATGTAGAGTTTTGTTTTGATTCAAGACCATGGTACTCTGACGCTCTAGGTGTTCTTTCCCAAAGCCATACTGAAAGGTAGTTAAGATTTGCTAACTCTCCCTGCTTAACCAGCCATCTTCCTCAGTTCTGCAGTGCATGTCCAGAAAGTGTTCATGCGGCAGGAAAGGTACTGAAAATAGAATTTTCCTGAGACAAGTTTATGTGTACTTAATTTTGTAGGGGTTTTACATTTTTCTGCAGTGTAGTTTGTGTTACGTAGATGTTTCAGCAGAACTTGTTTCTAAAAGCAAATCATTAAGAGAAAGGGAACTAGGGCACTATCTAGTATTATAGAGGAAGCAGTACCTGGAGAGCTCTCCTGCTGCACTCCTTTAAAACATGCACAGTGCTTTCAGTTTTTTCCTGTCAGTGGTACGAAAACCAAGTACAAGTAATTGTGTCACAACAAACCTTGATTACATAGAATCCAGTTTTTTTTTGTCTGGAATAAGGTCCTTGACTGAAGATGTAGCTCTCAAATAACTTTCAACAGATGAACATTTAAAAAAATTATCTGAGACATTTTGGAGGTGATTTTTCCGTGTGAAAACAAAGGATGTCTCCAAAGAGTAATGATTTGCCTTTCACTAGAAAGCTGAGACTTAAAGGCAGAGTGAAAGGGAACTTGGTATGCGAGGAATAATCAAGCTACACGTGAATAGAGAAGAAATCTGGGGATGAAATGAGAAAATAGAGCAGCTGTATAATTCCAAGTTGATACAAGGAGCACACTATCATTAGCACTTAGGAAGGGAGGAGGGGGCAGGGCTAGCAGCCACCTGCACACTGAATTCCTGTGTGTCATGCAGTGGGCACTGCTATGGGCTAATGCCTAATAATGCAAAGGTTGCAATGGAAAGACCTAGGTTTTGCAGCCATGGGAATGATCAGAAGTTGTTGCCAGTCTGCAAATCCTGTTGGCTAGTTCATTCAACTAATATTTATGGAGCATTTAATAATAAGTGCCAGGCATTATACTTGGAGTTGTTAATATAAAGATGATTGCCCCCTCTTTAAATAATGTTGATCTAACTTAAAGACAGATAGGTAGATAGGTAATAGTACAGTGTGGTAAATACAGTGATGGTGATGTGACGGTAAGAAGGAACCATCCTGGATGGGTAAATACCTTAGTTCCCCTAAGAAATGAGTGACAGATAAAAAAAATATGAGACTGTTGAGCTAGGCATAGGAGAATACATGTGGACCAAAGGAGGGTGACCCCTCCACTCCTGTCAGAATAACGGGAGGGCTGCAAAGTGGTCTTTGGTGGAGTAAAAAGGTGAATATTGACTGGAACATGAGTAAGTACTGAAGTCATGGAGGGACTGGAGAGGTAACTAGAGGTTGGGAATCATGGGAAGGGTCTTGTATACCATATTAGGAGCTGGGATTTCATCTTAGAAACCAAAAAGGTTTTAAGCAGGTCAATGCATGGGTTTGTTTGCTTGTTTTTAAACAGATATAGGAAAATAGTTACACAAAGTCCACACAGGAGTAGTAAGGGAGCAGTTGTTGGAATGGAAAGGAGGAACAGATTTAAGAAACATTTAGAAAGAAACTACTGTGTGTCAGACACCAGTTAAAATGTCAGAAACCTGGTGGATGGGGGAGAGGGAAAAGTCAAAGGGAGTTTCCACTTGGCACTTCCAATGTAGGCACTAGATTTTGGATATAGTGAGTTTATCCAGAGTTGACACGTGGGACTGAAGCCTCAGGCGAATCTTGAAAGTAGATAGAATGACCCAGGGAGAGTGTGGACAGAGAAGAAAGAGCAGTTAATTCATGGGGCTGAAAGAACCTTAGGAAATATCTGTATTTACAGTTGGATGGAGGAAGACAAGTGCATGGTGGAGCAGAGAAGGTACCAGAAGAACACACACGTCAAGTGTATCTTCAAGAGGTCCAGTGTGAGACGGAGAGATAGAAAAATTAAAATCTATTGGGCTTAACCAATTAGAAAGTCTCAGTAAGATGGGCAACCAGATTGTTTTGCCATTTACAGTTCTGAGGCCTTGAATAAACTACTTGCTTGTAAGTTTGATTTCTTATCTGTAAAGTGAAGATACTTGTCTTGCTTATTGTGAAGATCAGAAGATTATTGTGCATTTAAATTATCTAGATGATACTTGGCATGTATTTAATGGGACACAGTAATGTTTAATGTCATTTATATACATGCAGCCAGATTGAACCTAGTGAGTTTAAGAAGTGATCTTACAAGTTATCTTAATGCAATAAAAGGTAGACCTTAAAATTAAAAAATTTTTTTCTCAGTTTTGAATAGCTCATTCACATTGTTCAAAATTCAGTTCAAAAGGTCTCCTCCTTATGTCCCACTCATTTAGTGTTGTTCCATCTCTCCCCTCCCCTCCATCCTTATTTTCATTTTCATGTAATTGTGAGATGCTTTATGTGTGTTGTACTAACTGTTGGAAAAAAATGGGCAGCTGAAAGTGACTTGCAGCAAATCAGGATAATAATGTTAATGACAGTAACTTACTGTAGCTTGTGATTTAGATTCTCATATACTTAGTGTTCAACTACATGGCCGATCAAGAGCCTTCTAAATTAGAGTACCTCACATGAACTGGGACCTGTATGAGTGATTCTTTGAGGAATACTTGAGCTCATTGTGAGAGCAAATTCAGTATATGGCACTGTGTGTTTGGGGGAGCTTAGGGCTTTGAGACAGAACATTAGGGCATAAGATCAAGCTGATGTTGATAAGAATTTTATCAATTTTTAAGTAATTATTTTGGTAGTTAAATTCTTGTGCATACGGTTGCCGTTCACGTTTGTTGTGGAGAAACAGTGTAGGGTAGCACAGTGCTCAAGAATCTGAGCTTGGGAGTTACGTAGGTTGAGAGTCACCCCTCAGCAAGGGGCAGTGTGCCGGAGCCCAGCTAGTAGACTGCTTAGCCTCAGGAGCCATCAGAGAGGTAAATGATGATGTCGTGTATAGAGCTGTCGGCAGAGTGTTGGGTATCTGTTCAGTACTGAGTAAATGCTGTTCGCTAATATTATGAAGCAGTTCCTAGAAGTAAGCTCCTAGGGTGAGTTTGTACATTTTAAAGACAAAATAATATTGCCAGTTGCTCTGTATACATAGTCACACTCACATTTAACAGTACTGTATTGCTACGCCCTTGCCGTGTGTTTTAATAGTCGTCATTTTAAAGTTGTGATTAGTGTTTTTAAAATACCTGATAGCATGGAGAAAAATGAGGAACTACTCTTACGCCATTTTCGTTAAAAAACTTGAAGATTTTGATTCAGCCCATTTATCAGGTTGAAATTCTTAGCAAGGGGATGGATTCAGCAGAGAGGCCTGAGGAAAAGATTAGAGATTGGGGGAGGGTATATAGCTCAGTGGTAGAGCATGTCCTTAGCATGCATGAGGTCATGGGTTCGATCCCCAGTACCTCCATTAAATATAAAAAATAATAATCATGATAAATAAATCTAATTACCTCCCTCCGAAAAACAGAAAGACAAAAAAGAGACATAAAAGAACACTGAAGTTGGCAACTCATATGACAAAAGTTTTAAGGAATGAATAAGGCAATTTCCTAAGATACTGGTGACAAAAGTATGTGTTTGTTTTGTTTTTGTTTCCCTGAGAAAGTTTCAGTGGCTCTTAGAAAAGTTAGCCTAATACCTGCTTTATCATTGATTATGATAATAAGTTTGTCATCAATGAAAATCAACTTCTTTTTTGAATTTTGAGAGCTACCCATCTTCTACCACCACCCCCCCAGGTGGTAAGAGGGAGGCTCCGTTGTGCTGAGCTTTGCTCAGTTCTGTACCTTCTATCTGTGTGC